ACACACACACACACACACACACACACACATACATACATACAGTGGGGCCTTGACTTATGAGTGTCCCGACTAACGAGTTTTTTGAGATACGAGCCGTCTCCCGGCCGATTTTTTGCTTTGAGTTGCGAGCTAAAATTCGGGATACGAGCCACCTTCAGATACCCCACCACTAGTTGGCGCAGCGAACGTCACAGTGAACACAACATCAGCCCAGCATCACGTGTCTCACTCGTTCACTTTTTGATTTGACATACGAGTAATTTGAGTTACAAGCTCTGTCACGGAACGAATTAAACTCATAAGTCAAGGCCCCACTGTACACACACACACACACACACACACACACACATAATTGATTTCAAAGAGAGAAAGGGAGAGGCAGATAGAAACATCGATGACAGACAATCATTGATCAGCTGCTTCCTGCATGCCCCCTACTGGGGAATCCAGCCTACAACTTGGGCATGTGCCCTGACCAGTAATCAAACTGTGACTTCCTGGTTCCTGGGTCGATGCTCAACCACTGAGCCACACCGGCTGGATTCCACTAAATTTTAAAATGGTTCCTTTCAGCAGAGTGAAATTAGAGGGAGAGGGAAGACAATTTTTCTTTACACAACTCTATTATTGGACTTGTTATAACAAGCATGCAAAAATCTAAGTACAATTAGAAAGCAAAATGGTTATAACTATAGAAATATTTAGAAACACAGATAGTATCCATAGTTTGATGATACAAAATCATAATGCAAAATATGTATACCATGCTTACAACTATATTCATTGATCTGCATGTGAGAGAGGACTGGATGGGAGGCCTGCATGGGAATACTCTATCATGAAAATAGTTGTTCAAGTTCATTCATTTTTTCCACAAATGTTTATTGAGCACCTACTATGGGCCAGGCACATGGCCCTGTTCCAAGCACTTGGGAGTCAGCAAGAAATCAAACAATGAAATACACATCCCCTAGTGCAGTGATGGCGAACCTTTTGAACTTGGTGTGTCAGCATTTTGAAAAACCCTAACTTAACTCTGGTGCCGTGTCACATATAGAAATTTTTTGGTATTTGCAACCATAGTAAAACAAAGACTTATGTTTTTGATATTTATTTTATATATTTAAATGCCATTTAACAAAGAAAAATCAACCAAAAAAATGAGTTCACGTGTCACCTCTGACACGCGTGTCATAGGTTCGCCATCACTGCCCTAGTGGAAGTTACATTCCAGCAGGGAGAGAGAGGTAGTTAAGCAGTAAACACAATGGAAGGCCTCATTGAGAAGGTAACATTTGAAAAAAGATTTGAAAGAGGTAAGGGAGGGAGTTACGCAAATATCTGGAGGAGCTTTCTAACCAGAGGGATCAGCCAGTGCAAAGGCCCTGAGGTGAGTTCAAGGAACAGCAATGACAGTGAGGCTGAGACAGGGTTAGCAAGGAGAGAGCAAGTCAGAGGTAAGCAGCTAGTTAACTAGTGTTGGGTTCTGTAGACCTCTGTATGAACTTTGGCTTTTTATTGCAAGGGAAGTGGGGAATCACTGTGGGTTTTGAGCATAGGCATTCCAGAATCTCTCTGGCTGCTGTGTGACTGGACCACTGGTATTGGGGTTGCAGGAGGGCAGAGAGATCTGGTTTTCAAGTGAGGGATGAAGGAGGCTGAGGGGATGCTGAGGTGTAGGATCCGAGACATAGTTTTAAGGTAGAGCCATCAGGGTTTCCAGATAGATTGGGTAGAGACTGTGAGAAAGAGGAGTACAAGCATGGCTCTGGGGCTCTGGGCCTGAGTAAGTGAAGTGGAGTTGCTATTAATTAGGATAAGAAAGACAACTGGGTGGAGTGGGTTTGGAGTTGGGGAAGGATTAGGAACTTATCTGTGGACCTGTTATGTCTGAATGTAGCAGCAATATAAATTTTGTTTGCAGGATGTTTTGAGGACAGAGTAAAGTAGGGAATATAGAAAATGGAATCACTTTAACCAAGCTGCTAAAATTGTTAACATCATGAAGACTGAGGCACGAGGAAGGACTCCATTCTTGTTCTAAGTAGCCTGGGAACTTAAGCTTTTTTATACTTTCCAGTCCTGTGTCAATGCTTAGACATATATCTGGACAGACACCAGACTCCAGCTAACCCTCTGATTACCCCCCTCCAGATAACCCTCTGATTACCCCCTCCAGATAACCCTCTCATTACCCCCTGAAGGACCCACATATCCAGGTCACCTGACATCTATTATCCAGATCATCGATGTGACCAGACCCCCTGGCGCCCATCCTCTAGACCAGCAGTCACCAACTGGTGGTCCGTGAGGTCCGAAAGGTTGACGACTGCTGCCTAGACCACCTGGCACCCATCACCCAGCCTGCCATCTGACTGACAACCGTCCTGGACCACTCCTCGGGCTAAGAATGCAGGGCTGCCTATTCTCAAGAATGCATTTTACTACAAAAGATCTTAACTTTTCTTTCTTCTTCAGAACACTTCTGGGTTTTTGCATAGCTGTTCCCAGTGTGCAAATTAAGACCCTTAATAAATCTATCATTTATTTTTACCCAAAGCCTCCAGGCTCTGAGTTTGTTCAACAGTTTCTAATGATGACATCTTTCCAAATAAAAAGATAATTTCAAGACTCCTGACCCAGCAACTATTATATTCCCAGTACTGAAAATATGCAAGTTAGTCACTTCTAGTAACAGGAAGAAATCACAGGGATAGAAGATATGCCAGAACATACTAGAGCCAGGCTCCAGTTTTCAAGGGTGGAGGGAGGTGAGCAGACAGAGGCTGCAAATCTGTCCACAGTCCTGACAAGACTTCACGTATCAGGAATGGATGACATACGAAGTCCAGAAACTAGCAGTAGCTCCTTTAGGACTCAGTTAGAAGTCAAGCGTAAGTGAGACCAATATACAAGATGAGGCAAAAGTAGGTTTACAGTTGTTTGTATGGAAAATACAATAATAAATAACACAAGAATAAACTATTCCACATACTCAACTGTAAACCTACTTTTGTCCCACCTTGTACGTACTAGAAAAACCTAGTGTTGCCCTGGCCGGTGTTGCTCAGTGGTTAGAGTGTTGACCTGTGCATAAAAGGGTCACAAGTTCGATTCACAGTCAAGGGTATGTACCTGGGTTGTAGGTTTGATCCCGGCCCCAGCCAGGGTGCATGCAGGAGGCAACCGATAGATGTGTCTCTCTCACTTTGATGTTTCTGTCTCTCTTTCTCTGTCTCTTCCTCCTTCCCTCCCACTCTCTCTAAAAATCAATGGAAAAAATATCGAGGGAGGATTAACCAAAAATGACAAAAAATCTAGTTTTCCCACCTGTGCACCTTCTTTACTATATGAATACTTCACTTCTGACACCAAATATGTGGGGTGTCAATCAATTCTCTGTGACACCAGCTGGTTGTCCTACAATTTAACTCAATTCTGACACTACCTACTTGAAACATCTAGCATCAGATCCCACAGGGTAAGAGCTCAGTCCCATGAAACTGGCTCCCACTCCCCCGACTTCAGCTGCTAATCCCGAGTAGTAGGTCCCCAGGTTACCCATAACTTCTGTACAAATCGAAGTTTCCCATGACGCCCTCCCCCTTAGACTTGATCATCTGCTAAAACAGCTCACAAAACTCAGTTTACCAAAGGATGAACAGCCCGATGAAGGAAGGCACAGGGCGAGGTCCGGGCATCCTTCCCAGTTGAGCTGGAGGTGCATCGCCCTCCTAGGAAGTTGAAGTGTTCACGAACTTCGAAGACCTCTGACCCCGTACTGTTGGGCTTTAATGGAGGCTTCACCACAACAGGCATGCTTGATCGCTGACTCCACTGACATCACTTCTCCCTGGAAAGGGGGGGGGGGGGGGCGCTGAAGAGTCCAAGCTTGCATGGTGGCTTGGTCTTTCTGGTGACCAGGCCTCACTCAGAAGCTCATTACAACAAACGCTCTTATCACCCAGAACCACAAGAGTTTAAGGAGCGGGTCAGGAACAGCAGCTAAGACCAAACATTAAAACAAAAGAGGCTCCTAGTGCTCTGATCACTTAGGAAATTCCAAGGGTGTGGGGTTCTGTGCCAGACACAGGAAGGGGGGTGAAGGCCAAATACATATTTCTTAAAAGTGTTGAGGTAAGAAAATTGTCCAAACCTGTAAGAATTTTTTATGAGTTTATTTGAGCCAAACTGACAATTGCTGGGAAGCAAAATCTCAACGGATTGAGAAAGTGCTCCCGAAAATGGCACTTATTTTATACATCAGAATCAAAGGGGAAGACATGTGATGAGGTTACATGAAATTCACTGATGACAGATTAGGGAGGTGGGAGAAAGCAAAGCGGGGAAACCTCTGGGATTGGATAAAAAGAAAAAGGAACAGACATATCCTTCTTTTACAAAGGCAGGTGTAAGACAGTTAACAGTTAACAATCAACATAAGAATGAGGGATTGCCGGACGGTGTGGTTCAGTGGTTGAGCGTTGACCTATGAAGTAGGAGGTTAGGGATGATTCCCCGTCAGGGCAAGTACCGGGTTGTGGGCTCGATCCCCAGTGTGGGGCGTGCAAGAGGCAGCCAATCAATGATTCCCTCTCATCATTGATGTTTTTATCTCTCTCTCCCTCTTTCTTTAAAAAAATAATTATAAAAAAAGTGGGGGGGGGGGGATTTGTGGTTTCTTGCCCTGGCTCAGGCTTTGAGGGGTGGGGAAAGGAAATTACTTTGATATTCCAAAGGTATGTTATCAGAGATGAAAAAACAAACACCCAGACAGGCTCAGTTAATGTGAAGACTGACCTTTGTGAGGGCAAAACACCAGCCTAGGACATGACTACTCCCCACGAACTGCTTTCAGTTAGAAAGTTTTAATTTCTGACCATCCTACCTGGTTACTTTAGGTCTCTGAGTTTGCAGGTCTCCCCTGAAGATGTCAGGTTTAGTAGGTGGCCCCTTTTTCATCCACAAATTCATCACAACATCACAGAAGATATGCCAAAAGGGTGCTCTAGGTTCCAGTTTTCAAAAAGGATAAAAACAAAAACAAACAACAACAGCCTGCCTATCCATGGTCCTGGCAAGATTCTAGAGCATGTCATTAAATGGATGACATAATGAAGTCCAAAATTTAGCAGTAACTCCTCTTGGATTCAGTGTTAAGTCAGGGACAAGTCAGCTCAATATACTTAGAAAAAATGCAACCAGGGCAGTTTCGGAACTTGTAAGTCTAATTATTAGGGGCAGAAATAGAATAGTGGGGACCAGCTATAATTACAAAAAATCTCTTTTTTTTCCTACAAAAAGTCTTAATCATGCTCTGTTAACCGTGACTGTTTTGTTCTGATTAGAAAACGCACATTCTAACCTGGCTGAGCGTTGCACACCCTGGTACATGGGCGCTAACATCGGAATGCAGCCCACCCTCCTCTTCCCAGAGCTGCCTATCATTATGGAAATATTTACCATCTCGCTGAAACAACTTAGTCCCGGAGGTATAATGGTTACAGGCACCCCCAGCCCCACTGCCTGCAACCATATACCCTGCCTACTTCCCCATGCCTGTAATTCTTGCTTTCACCGAATCTTTGTCCTTCTACCCTATATAAGCAGCTGGCTTATGGGGGGTGGGTGCAGAGCAGATTTTGTGGACGACCTGCTGCTCTCCCTGCTGCCGGCGCTATTGGAATAAACGCTCACGATTCACCCCTGTCTCTGCTTAACTGGCTCAATCAGGGACAGGCAGCCCGGACCCCTTGGCTGCCCGGTTACATAACGTTTGACGGAGAGAGAGGTTTCTCGGAGGAGACATGTCCCAGGGGGCATGCAACAGGGGCCCCGCCGGCTAGTGTTTCAGACGTGGTCAGCGCCCAGGGAGATCGCGTCCGGCCTGCAGAGCTCTCTAGGCGGGTCGCCGCCCGCAAATCCCTCCGCCGCTTGCGCAGTGCGCGCGGGGAGAAGGGGCTTGGAGTCCGCTCACCCTTTTCTTTCTCTTTTCATCCTCGAGGAAGGTCCGCGAGGCGCAGCGGGAGAGCAAGGGATGAACAAAAGATAACTTTCCTCTGGTCCTGCCGCAGTTCTCAACACAACCACGGCCGACACGGGCCTTAAAACTTCTGAACCGCTTTCCGCCGGAGACCGCCATCCGGGAGAGGAGCGGCCGGAGGCTTCTCCAGAACCCAGGTCGCCAGGGCCTGTTAGGTCGGGGAAAGGGACTCGGCGGCAGCGCGCAGGCCCCCTGCCCACT